TTGGAAGGGAGGGGGGTGTCGGGGCTGGAGGTGGTGGAGGAATTCTTCAGGTTTCGTTGTCGCTTGATGACATATTTTGTGGGTTTGTGTTTTATAATGAGAGGGGAAGATGCACAAAGGCAGGGGGTGGGGTGGGATGGGGTGAGAGACAAAGTGGTGAGGACACAAGAAGATAGAAAAATAAATAAAAAGAGTGAGGAAGAAGTAACATATATATAGAGAGAAAAAGAGTAAAAGAGAACAAAAAAAGAAAGGGCAAAATACAGGAACAGAGTGGTGGTAGAGAAGAATGAGAAAGAAAGAGCCAAAACAGGGTCGGAGAAATCTAAAGATAGACGGAGAAAGCGAAAGAGAGAGGGAGAGAGAGAGAGAGAGAGAGAGAGAGAGAGAGAGAGACGTCAAGTCAAGCCAAAACTGTTGGAAAGAAGAAATGAAATATTCCTCAAGGAACTCCTGGCCAGCATAATTTACTCGTAGATGACTGACTGCCTCTATCTCTGTCTTTTAATATCGTTATAGTTATAATATTAGTGAGTGGACGAATCTTTGAAAATTGTGATCCGTCTTATCTTGAGATTAATTTTGGTTCTCATCTTCCCCTTGTCTCATTGCAAAGGACATATGTATGCACTGAAATAACAAGACTGTCGAAAGAAGAACTTTACCCTTTTTGTGGTGATTGTTGTTTCTGCTTTCTGTGCATGCCACACGTCTTAGCGTTGATGTGTCGTGCCTGTGGACTTTACAATGAATGAAATGGCAAAAGGCAACAGGCACAAGTGTTGAAGGGGATCGTAGTGCCTGCATCAAACAGGGATCTCGCTTCTAAGAATACAGACGCTTTAAAGAACTTTGGGCAAATCGCCAGCGTCATTCCTCAATTGCCCAAATTTATTTCTCAGGTTTTCCAAATATTATTTTAGCCATGATTCGAATAAATTCTTCAATGAATATTTTACCATACAGTTTCATTTTGTTTTGTTAATTCCTTCTTATGTTTAATTGACAAATGACGAATGGCCTAGTCTTGGATCTGATTTGGGCACCTTTTTTTTCTTTAACTACAAAATAATGACTTGTTTGCGCTTGACGCTAACAATTTATTCTTAAACATTTGTCCCAGCTAGCCTACTCCAATGCTGTTGGTTTAGAAGCTTTTCTTTTCATAAAGTTCCACTTTACGATTAGATTCTTATTAGACATGACATAAGTACATTGTTTGTTGTGTGTCAGTTCCTTAAGCTTAATGTAACAGGTTTTTCCTGTTACATGACATAATATCGTAGACTCACATAATTTATTGTGAGGATTAGTGTGGTGTAACCTGTAGGAGAAACCATCGTCTGTACTGAGAATCTGAGAACTGCAGGGCGCCGTCACTTCTTCCCGCGTACACCACTGACCCCGTGACATTTTGTTAGACCAGGTCAGGGGGTGGGGGGCTGACATGTAAACTCACTGGCGGAGAAAATTCTCCAGAGGGGAAGAAATTGGGCGGGGGATTGGGGA